CAGCATCTGGCAGTCAGAGGCTAAGACACTCAGAGCATGAGGTTGTGTCCCTGAACATCTTGGCTAACAGTCATTGATTGACCTATCCTCAATTAACTTATCAAATTATTTTTTGAACCCTGTTACAGTCTTGGCCTTCAACACATCCCCTGGCAAAGAGTTCCACAGGTTGACTGTGCAGTGTGTGAAGAGATATTTCCTTTCATTTGTTTTAAACTTGCTGGCTGTTAAATTCATTGGGTGACCCCTAGTTCTTGTGTTATGTGAAGGAGTAAACAACAGTTCTATTTCACTTTCTCCACACCAGTCACAGTTTTATAGAACTATATCATACGTCCTCTCAGTCGTAAAAATGGTGCAACTGTTTCAGACCAAATCTCTATCTAGCCCGGTATGCTGTGTTCTGAGAGTGCCCAGTGCCAGGTGCTTCAGAGGGAATGAACAGAAGAGATAATCATCAAGTGATCCATCCCCCATTGCCCGTTCTGAGCTTCTGGCTAACAGAGACTAGTGACACCATCCCTTCCCATCCTGACTAGTAGCCCTTGATGGACCTATCCTCAAGAAACTCTTTGGACCTATCCCGTGGAACTCTTTGCCAGAGGATATTGTGAAGGCCATGACTATAATAGATTGGAAAAGGCACAAGGGCAGAGAAAATTTAATAGATTGGAAAAGGCACCAGAATCCCACTGAATGCTGATGGACACTGGGCACCTAACTCACATCTGTGTCTCTGAACATCTCCCTCCACCCTCCCTAATTACAGCCTGTTTAGTGACTCCAGCAATCCGCAGGCTTCAGGGCACATGCTGATCACCGAAGGGACTCAGGAAGTTGCTGCTGCCCATGGCATGTTAATGCACTATGGGGGGGTTATGACTAAGCAGGGGCAATCAGTGCTACCCTCTGTCAGAGAGAGGCTATCAGATGGGAGGGACTATTACTCTGTGTTTGAAACAAGAATTTGTGAGAGTCTTTCCATGTGCATGTCGTGTTCTCATGGATCGAGCGCAGGGCTCGTCAGCCGGGAGGGGAGGAGGAGATGCTCAGATTCTATGGCGATGGGCAGCGGCACAGAAACACTGATAGACAAGTGAGTCCATCTATGTCGTGGCTCTTCCTTTTCTCTTCGGGGTTTCAGTAGTGCTGGGCCACTCTAACACATCTGCAAGACTCAGTTTGCCCTGACAATTTGAGCCCCTGGTATGAGAGACTTATTTCTTCACTCCCAGGGGAAGCTCTTAGGCTGAAGTTCTCCAGGGTCTATTTTTTGCTGTTCTTGCTGCTCCGGAAGCCGAGGGAATTGTCGGGGAGTCCAGGCTAACCTGAGAGTCCGCAGGGACTGTACAGGGAATCATAAAGGTTGCTGTCCAACACAGCGAGCATCAGGCATGTGAAATTCATACACTGATTCTCAGGGATCTGCCTTTCTGCCGCAGTATGGAGATTTCCTTTTTCTGCTGAGCTGGGTTTCGGTGAGTTGCCTGTTTCTGCAATAAAATTGGTGCTGAGGGCTCAGGAAGGGTTCCAGGGTTCAAGTCAAGAACCATCTGGGCTGGAATTCACCAGCACGGTGACATGAACTGTTTAGTATTATCAGGAAAAACAGACTTAGAAGTAGTCTCAGCACATCAGTTGGCAGTTCCCAATGCGGGTTCTGGAATCCAACCCATCACAACAAGAAGCACCAAAAGATAGTAAAAATAAAAGCATGTTTCTGGCGTAGAGGACACCAGGTGGAAATCTCACTGGGGGAGGTCCCAGAAAGTACATTGGGGAGGTCCAGGAAACCAGTGTGTGTGTGTGGTCCTAGAAACGTGGGTGAAATAGGGAGGCATAATGAGGCCTCCTGGGGAACAGGGTGTCTCAGATTGCAATGTAGTGTGGACCACACTGTTTTATATTGTCTCTGACACCTTCCTCCATCTAGATCATCCCTCCTCCCATGAGTAATCCTACTCCAGTCTCATGGCAACGTCAGCAATTGCCAACACAGAAAAGCAGCCTCAGGAAGGGGTGTCTGGGTTTCTAATAGGCTGCAATATGTTAAAGCTTTGTGTAGTTTTGAGGAAGAGTTACTCACGCTGGCTCCTTTTAGTCTCCACGTCCTCTCTCCCTCCTGCCAGTTCTGTCCCTCTCTCCTTCCCTGCACAGGCTGAGCTGCTGCTGGGGTTCCCTTTCCCCCTGGAGAGGCAGATTTCCCCCTTTTCCCCGGTGCAGGCAGATACTGAGTTCAACCTAGTCTGAGGAGATATTTCTGTGAGCTGTCACTGTGGGGTCTGGCTTCTGGTTTTGGTCCTGGGTGAGGGGTATCACTGTGTGGCAGGGCTGGAAGTTGTGGGTGTGGGGAACCTACATGGACAGGCGGGCAGTGCTGGCAGTTGTGGGGCAGGCAGGGAGGTGTACATGGACAGGCAGGCAGTGCTGGGAGTTGTGGGGGCAAGGAGCAAGGTGTACACACAGAAGCAACAGGGCTGTGGGTTATGTGAACAGGCAGGGAGGTGTACACAAACAGGCGGGCAGCACTAGAGGTGGTGGGGGCAGGGAGCCATGTGTACACTGACAGGCACTGCTGAAATTAAATTTCTCTTTTGATTGTTGGTCCAAGACCAGCACTGGGACCTTTCCTGGCTCCAAACGCTGGGACCTTTCCTGGCTCCCAGACTGGGCAGGTCTCAATGTCTCTTTGCCCTGGCAAGCCACAGAACTGCAGCCTGGATGTCACAACCTTTACTCAATTTTGTTTCCAAAATTGTTGTTGTTATGTAAATTCAGGCATTTCACCATTGGAAAGAACCATTCATCTTTGTGTGACACTGTAACCCATGTTCTTCACAGTGATACTAGTATGATATCATTATAACATAATTATGATATATTTTATACAAGATGTGTCGTCATATGTCAGTGGAAAAGTTACAATTTTCTGAATATGATTATCCAATTTCTATACATGTATCATTTTTATATCTGAAGTTATGACTATTGACTATATAGTTACACCTGCGTAACTCAATAGCTGGTTGGGAAGCACCTGTTCAGGGCAATGAGTACCCCAGTCCTAGGTAAAAAGAACAGGCGTACTACTGGTACCTTAGAGACTATCAAATGTATTTGAGCATAAGCTTTCGTGGGATACAGCCCACTTCTTCGGATGCATATAGAGTGGAACATATATTGAGGAGATATATATACACACATACAGAGAACATGAACAGGTGAGAGTTGTCTTACCAACTCTGAGAGGCCAATTAAGTAAGAGATACAGACTAACATGGCTGCTACTCTGAAACCAGTTCTAGGTGACACCCCAGGGGGGAACCTGTCACACTTTGCTCCTCAGCTGCTTCAATCTCCCAAAATATTCTGTCCCCCTGTTCATACTCTCCTTCCCCATCCCAGGCTGCTCCAATTCCAACAGCACCCTGGTCACCAGTTTCTTCTCCATGCTCCCCAGTCATTCCTGACTCGCACAACCTCTGAGATGCCCCACGCTCCCTGAAATTCTTCCTCTGCAGGGGGTGAGGTGCCTCCCATCACACCTGCTCCCTTGGCTGGGAGGTAATCAGTGACTGTGACTCAGCAGTGAGAAATCTCACCCATAAGTGGCATATGCCAAGGCACCAATGCGACTTCTCTTGTTACACCCACGCAAACCACGTGGTGCTTCAGGGACGGCTACACAGGAACAACTCACTAGCTGAGAAGTTTGCACATTATATAACAAGAATGGGCAACCCTGGGACATGTAAGGGCCTAGATAAATACAGCTGCCACGTGCAGGAACCACTGGTAGCTGCCTGAAACAGTGGGCCACTGGGACACAGTTGTTAAACCCAGGATGCTCTGGGACCATTTGCTAGCCAGCTCTACTAGCCATCAATAGCAAGTGTTGCATGAGATTTCATGGGCTAAAGTCATTATTTTTCTCACCTAAAACATTCATACATGAAGTGAGTCACAGGATTCCTCAGCCTCGTGAAATACTCACCTAGCGTAACATTTCAAAGGGGCAGCACTCACATGAGAATTTCTCCCCAGAGGGCTAAATTCAACAGTCATGAGTAGAAAAAATGCCTTCCGTAAGCTCAGGTAAAAGCTTGCAGGCAAAATGCCTCCAGCTGACTCCTGGGGACATGTTCGTAGAGTCCAAAGCCAGAAGGGACCAATGTGATCATCTAGTCTATATAACATAGACCGGAGAATTTCTGCAACACTTTTCCTAGAGCAGATCTTTAAGAGAAACATCCAACCCTGATTTAAAAATTCACAGTGATGAAGAATCCGCCAAGACCCTTGGTAAATTGTTCCAGAGGTTAATTACTCTCACCCTTTAAAAAATGTACACCTTATTTCCAGTCAGAATTTCTTTACCTTCATCTTCCAGCCACTGGATCCTGTTACACCTCCTTATGCTAGGCTAAAATGTCTATTATTAAATATTGGTTCCCCATGTAGGTACTAACAGTCTGTTATGAAGTGAACTTAACCAACTTTGTTAAACTAAATAGATTGAGGGTGAAACATTAACTGACTGATCTCATGGCATTGTGTTCTGTAAGATTCTCCATCCCACTCCACCTGGATCCCAGTGATTTGCTTTGTTTCTCTCCGTGCTTGCACTGTGAGCAGGGTTGGACAGAGCTGTGTACCATGATGCCCAGGTCCCTGTCCTGAGTTCATACAGTTCAATTAGAACCCCATAAGCTGTTTGAGGAGTTCAAGGTTTTCCCTCCAGTTATTGACATCAAAATTCACCTGCCATCATGCTGCCCATTCACCCCTCAAAACTTTTCTGGATTAGACTATAACCTAAATAATCTGGTGCCATCTGCAAATATTACCAATTTAGAAAGGGAGGTGAGCAGTGAGGTGGCAATAACTATAAAATAGTTAACCTACTATTTGTTATAAAGTTTGTAACCCCCTCACTGTGCTTATCTCTGTTCACAGGCACCTTGAGCATTTCTGAGACCTCTCGATGCACCAACCACCTCATGGCAGCTTTCAACCTCACCCCCTCTGACCCTTCAACTTTTATCCTAATGGGCATTCCTGGCCTGGAAGCTGCTCACCTCTGGATTTCCATCCCTTTCTGTATGTTCTTCTTTATAGGCCTATTGGGAAATTTCATGGTTCTATTTGTTGTAGGCAAAGAGCAGACCCTGCACAAGCCAATGTACCTGCTGCTCTGTATGCTGGCGCTCACAGACATTGGCAAGTCTACCTCTGTCGTGCCAAAGGCACTGTGTATATTTTGGTTCAATTTGAAAAGCATTACTGTGGGTGGCTGCCTCACCCAGTCATTCTTCCTTCACACGGTTTCTGCTATGCAGTCAGCCGTCCTCGTGACAATGGCCTTCGATCGCTACGTTGCCATATGTAACCCTCTGAGATATGCCACTATCCTCACCAATGCACGAATAGCTAAGCTAGGGTTCGTGGGTTTGACAAGAGCTGTTCTCATCATGCTGCCCCTGCCCCTGCTCCTGAGGAGGCTGCCATTCTGTGGCAACCACACTATCCCCCACACGTACTGCGAGCACATAGCTGTTGCGAAGATATCATGTGGGGACATCACATTTAACAGGACGTACGGCTTGGTGATAGCATTTGTAGTCATTGGGTTAGACCTGACGCTCATTGCTCTGTCCTACGGTGTGATCATCAGGGCTGTCTTCAGAATCTCTTCCAAGAAAGCGCTCCAGAAAGCCCTGAACACCTGCACAGCCCACATCTGTGTGATGCTGACATCTTATGCTTCCTCCCTCTTCTCTAACCTGACCCACCGGTTTGGTCAGGGCATTGCTCCACACGTTCATATCATCTTGGCCAACCATTCTTTCCTTGTCCTCCCCATGCTCAACCCTATCATTTATGGGGTCAAAAACAAAGAGCTTCGTGATATAGTGGGCAAATACATCTGGGTGATCATCTGGGGCCAGTGACTTTAAACCTGTGTGACAAGAGGGGGAAAGGATATCTCGTCATTAATCAAGAGTGTTCTGTACCAGTTTTCTGCTTTCTTGCAGACAGTTTTACAGTAGTTTGAGAGACCCTGCATTCACCAAAAACAGAGTAAGGGACTGGAAAAATATAGAAAAAAAACATTCTGAAACATATACAATCTGCCATAGACAAGCAGTGTTCTGAAAGGTGGCATTTTTTCAAACAGTCAAAAGAAGCGGGCTCTATAGTGGCACAGTTGTCAAATTCTCACAAGATGGCATTACATGAGAACACAGATGATGCTGCAAGAATCACCAATGTACTGCTTTACCTGGCTAACGAAGGAATAGCACCGCGGGCACAGGATGAGAGGGAAGAATCAGCACACATAGAAACTTCCGGGAACTATGCAATTGGTCTTCAAAGTATGATGAAGCATTCACCAAACAAACAATAAAAAACAACAAAAAATAAACAAAAACCCCTGAGTGGTTCTTTCAATCTCACAAGTCACTCAACTCAAAACGAACTTTTACAAATGGCTGCTGATATTGTGAAACGCACAGTCATTCTGAAACTTTGGGAGTATGGGTTTTCTACTGTCATTGTTGACGAAGCATGCGGTTTTAAACCAGAAGAAATGACAGTTTGTGTGAGAAACACAGAAAATCTGGAACTAAAGAACGATTTCTAGGATGTGTTGGTGCTCTGAGACAGGGGATGCTGGTGCCATCTATCACAACGTGATGCCGTTCTTACAACCTCCCAGCTAATTGGGATGCACTTTGGGAGGAATCCCAAAAGTTCTGGGAGCTGCATGATGTCCCTGTTAGCCCGGCACAAAGGAAGAGTATGCCCAGAAATGAACTGTGAAAAAACCACCTTCCTTGGTGTTGGGATGGTACCAGATTGGTGTGGCCGTGCTGAATGAATGCTGTGAGCACAACTTGACATGACTTAAACATGGCTGAAGAATACAGAGGATCCTGGGAGCAGGGTCCCCTTTAAGCAGAAGCAGACTTGATAAAGGCCTGGAAAATCCTGCGTCTGCGATCAATATTGCACCTATTGGTCAGTAAAAATGGGCCCATGCACAGGTAATTATCCCAGGCATAAAGTTCCAGCCTGGAGCACAGGCCGACCTGGTTATAGTGATCCTATGGCAAGGACACCACGCAGAGAGCCAGAGTGAATGATTGACAAGTGAGTAAACGTGGCGTGGTCTTTGTTCGGCACCCCCCCACAGCCCCTTCCAAAATACTAATCAGCTAAAATTAATAACCACATGCCCACTGGGCATGCTTTTGAGACGTGTGACTCCTTTGAGGGAATCAAGCAAAGTAAATTACTGTCTGAGAAGAGACAAGAGAGAAAAGGGAGAGGGGATTCCTTAATTGATGCTTGAAGACACTGCTAGACAGAGTAGCCAAAACTCTGCTCCATGGGCTCGAGTAGGACTGTGACCAGAGAGGTTTCCAGGCAACCAAGGCCTTGTCTTGAGGAAATCCTAGACAGACCAGAGGGCTGAGGAGACCAGACCTGGAGGGAAGAAGTCATCCATAGACTTGGTAACCACCTTCTGTGGTTGCCAAGCAGGAACTGTGTGAGGTTAGCACAGGGTCAGTTTGTGTATGTTTGTGAAAGAGAGGCTCACTAAGAGGAAAGTATAGCTCTTACTGTATAGTTCTTTAATGTCTAATATAGGAGTTATGAGCTTAATGTGACCTTTTACCACTTGTGTAATTCCTTCTCAAATAAAGTGCTGTGTATACAGGTTAACTACTGTAGACCTCTTTCATTGATATGACTAACCTGCTCCACTGGGAGCCATTAAAAGATCCAATCAGGAGCAGTAGCCCCTGGGCCCAACCCTTAGGTATTCAGATATTACAAACACTCAGACAATGTCAATATCAGCCAGATAAAAATTAGAGGGCTAAAAAAAAATGGGACAGACAGCTGTATTTTCCTGTGTTGGACACACTGTTTGGGGAATGTAATCACAGATTTTCATCCCAGTCAATGGACACAGCTAAAAGTACAGATACAGTGCTAACATGTGACCCAAAGGAGGGGCTTGGTGAGTGGCGGTGCACGGGGGGGAAGAGAGGTGGAACGGGTGGCAGAGGCGGGGCCACGGTGAGGGTGCTGGAGGGGCTTCTGGCACTTGGGCCAGCCTCCCCAAATGCCAGAGCTACGCGAGACCCATGAGACTTTATCTTCCTTGGCTGCAGAGTAGCAATACCCCCTTCCCCAAGGGCTCTAGGCCAAAGCACAGTGGAGTGGGAGGGATCTGGGCTCCCCTACCAACAACTCCCTGCATGTTACAGGCCTAAGCCCTGAGCACTGAGTGGCACTCCCCTGCCAACCAGCCCCAAGAGATGGGGTTTTACAGGTCTCTCGATATAATAAATGCACAGCTTTCCAGTCACTTTCAAAGCTGACAGGAAGGTGCTGATCAATTCAGTGTCATTCAGCCAAATATGCTTAATTCTGCAAGTCACGAGGATTTGTATGAAGGAGCTGAAAAACTGGCCAATCATTCCAACAGACATTTATCATGCTTTTCCTGGACAGTTCCTTTCATTCAGATCTGTTTAGAGCAACAGTTAGAATCATAGAATATCAGGGTTGGAAAGGACCTCAGGAGGTCATCTAGTCCAACCCCCTGCTCAAAGCAGGACCAATTCCCAACTAAATCATCCCAGCCAGGGCTTTGTCAAGCCAGACCTTAAAAACCTCTAAGGAAGGAGATTCCACCACCTCCCTAGGTAACCCATTCCAGTGCTTCACCACCCTCCTAGTGAAGAAGTTTTTTCTAATATCCAACCTAAACCTCCCCCACTGCAACTTGAGAACATTACTCCTTGTTCTGTCATCTGCTACCACTGAGAACAGTTGAGCTCCATCCTCTTTGGAACCCCCTTTCAGGTAGCTGAAAGCAGTTATCAAATCCCCCCTCATTGTTCTCTTCTGCAGACTAAACAATCCCAGTTCCCTCAACCTCTCCTCATAAGTCACGTGTTCCAGCCCCCTAATCAATTTTGTTGCCCTCCGCTGGACTCTTTCCAATTTTTCCACATCCTTCTTGTAGTGTGGGGCCCAAAACTGGACACAGTACTCCAGATGAGGCCTCACCAATGTTGAATAGAGGGGAATGATCAAGTCCCTCGATCGGCCAAAATGCTGTTAGCCTTCTTGGCAACAAGGGCACACTGTCAACTCATATCCAGCTTCTCGTCCACTGTAACCTGTAGTCCTTTTCTGCAGAACTGCTACCTAGCCATTTGGTCCCTAGTCTGTAGCAGTGCATGGGATTCTTCCATCCAAAGTGCAGGACTCTGCACTTGTCCTTGTTGAACCTCATCAGGTTTCTTTTGGCTCAATCCTCTAATTTGTCTAGGTCCCTCTGTATCCTATCCCTACACTCCAGCGAATCTACCACTCCTACCAGTTTAGTGTCATCTGCAAATTTCTTGGGAGTGCAGTCCATGCCATCCTCCAGATCATTAATGAAGATATTGGCCAAAACTGGCCCCAGGACCGACCCTTGGGGCATTCCGCTTGATATCAGCTGCCAACTAGAAATTGAGCCAATGATCACTACCTATTGAGCCCAACGATCTAGCCTGCTTTCTATCCACCTTATAGTCCATTCATCCAGCTCATTCTTCTTTAACTTGCCACCAAGAATACTGTGGGAGACCATATCAAAAGCTTTGCTAAAGACAAGGAATAACACATCCACTGCTTTCCCCTCATCCACAGAGCCAGTTATCTCATCATAGAAGGCAATTAGTTTAGTCAGGCATGACTTGCCCTTGGTGAATCCATACTGACTGTTCCTGATCACTTTCTTCTCCTCTGCGTGCTTCAGACCCCAGATTCATGACCCTCCAAAACGGAACATGAGCATAACTTGTAAAGGGTGGGACCGAGGGCGTGCATTACAGGTATATTTGGGCCTGCTAAGAAGGAGGAGATGGGAAATGGGAAGAGGGAATAGGGATTGGGGAACTGGAACACAGGCAAGGCTCTGTGGCATCAGAGCTGGGAATGGAACACAGGGAAATACACTCTGCTGGTGTGTAGAGCTATGGACATGCTTGCTTTGAACTAACCCCTATAAATGTTTCATTGTCTGCACTTCGGACTTCTGGTCTTCTGCTTTCTGTCTGCATGACAATTACCAGGGGAGGGGGTGAAGGTAAAGCCCTTTAACAGCAGTACATTCCCTTTATGGCAATTACAATTACCACCTGTATAATTATTGGCAGTAGTGTTCTGAAATCCTAGGATTGGCATTATTGCAGTGTGTCCCACAGTGCTATGTGTATGAGAAGTAAAACCCTTGGGAAATTGTTCCAATGGCTAATTACTCTCGCTGGTTAAAAAATGTACATCTTCTTTCCAGTCAGAATGTGTTTAGCTTCAACTTCCAGCCATTGGATACTGTTACACGTCTGTATGCTAGGCTGAAAAGCCTATTATTAAATATTTGTTCCCCATACTTTGTTAGGTACTTACAGACTTTTATCAAGTCACCACTTAACCATCTTTTTTAAACTAAATAGATTGAGCTCCTTGACTCTATCACAAGAAGCAGGTTTTCTAATCTTTTAATAATTCTTGTGACTCTTCTCTGAACCGTCTTCAGTGTATCATCATCCATCTTTAATGGTGTCCATGAGAACTGGACACAGGATTCCAGCAGGAGTCGCACAAGTGCCAAATATAAAGGTAAAACAACTTCTCTACCCCTCCTTGAGATTCCCCTTATGTTTCTTTTGTTTTTCAGACACTCTACAAACAAGCTGGCACCAGCGGGAAAATAATCCAGAACACCATGGGTCTACTGTCGCGACAAAGATTGTGTTTCGTGTTATGTGTCTTGTTGTTACTGTTATTTTGGTGAACATAGTACAAGGAGGGTTAACACATATAGCAGCAAGGTCAGTGCATGGTATAACCTGCCCGGAGACCTCGGGCTATCTATGGG